GAGTCACTACAGCTTTGAGCATTTATCTTTAAAATGTAGATTGCTCTTGCAATCATTTTCACCTATATGTGATGCTGACATAAACCAACTCTACTATTTTGCAGGTTTTCTCAAAAGTTAGTCTGCCAAAATGGATGGTAGTTTCCTCCCACTGCCAACATCCAAGGCTCTGATTTGAGTATCCTTATTATGCTTGCTCCTGGGGAGGAAAGGTATGGCAAATCTAGACAGCATACTAAAAAGCAGAGACATCACCCTGCCAACAAAAGTACGTATAGTCAAGGCCATGGTTTTCCCAGTTACAATGTACGGTTGTGAAAGTTGGACCATAAGAAAGGTTGAGTGCCAAAGAATTGAGGCCTTTGAACTATGGTGCTGGAGAAGACTCCTGCGAGTCCCTTGGACTGCAAGGCGACCAAACCGGTCAGTCCTAGAGATCAACCCTGACTGCTCTTTAGAAGGCCAGATCCTGAAGTTGAAACTCAAGTACTTTGGCCACCTAATGAGAAGGAAGGACTCACTGGAGAAGAGCCTAATGCTGGGAAAGATGGAGGGCAATAGAAGAAGGGGACGACAGAGAATGAGGTGGCTGGATGGAGTCACCGAAGCAGTAGGCGTGAACTTAAATGGACTCCAGAAGATGGTAGAGTTCAGGAAGGCCTGGAGGAACATTGTCCATGGGGTCACAATGAGTCGGATACGACTTCGCAACTAACAAAAAATTATGTTTCCTCTTTTACAGTATTTCCTCAATGACATTTTGAGTATTTTTCGTTAAAAATATAGCTGGGTCAGGATTAGTTCCACTTTTGATGTGAACTTTTCTTTGGGGAGCTGCAGCATTTCCTCTCTGGTTGATACCTATCTAGAAATTCCTGTGTGGTTGATACTTATCTAGAAATTACCATGCTCCCATTAATTTGTGCAGTACTAATTAGAGATTACAGGGCAGGTGTGCGGCAAGTGTCCACTGTGCTGCTGACCCCATTTTTAACAATGGCAGTTTACCTGCATTGACTAAAGCTTTGACAGCCATCAATTACGGGAGGGGGGGGAATTAAGACTTTTAAGAATGCTTTCCGAAAAGTGCCTCTTTCTGACGCCCGCTCCTGTTTGACAGTTTAAATGCTCCTCTCAAAACTGCTTCGTGCAACTACAACATCTGGGCTACAACACGGAGCACAGAAAAACAGGACCGTCGGCCCCGCCAAAATTCGAGCAACTTTTCTACCCATTCACGGTAGAGGAATTTATGGTTTACAAAATCGCATGCGCAGAACACTCCCAGGCCTTCTAACCCTCCGCACAAGCGAGCAGAAGGCAGGAAGGAGGCGTCCGCTGGAACCCAGCGCGCGAGCTCGACTAACAGAGGACCAGGGCACGTGCAGCGCGACGCGTGTCCGAGGAAACTTCCAGCGCCTACGTTTTTCAATTAGCGCATGCGCGAGTGGGTTTCGCTCGGGTTTTCCCGGCCTCAAATCTAACTCACGTGGACGTAGAGCGAGGCTTGCGCTTCCGGAGGGCGCTGGTGGAGCTGGGAAGCGTTGGGCTTTCCCCACGGCGCAATTCGACCAAGCCGTGCGGAAAGCCCTGCCCGCAGTTTCTCTAGCAGCGCCTCCATGAGACTCTTGCCGCCTACATCCGGGGCAGCTGCAGCTCTGACACCGTCGGGGAGGGGAGAGAAAACAAGACCCGCCTCTTCGGGGGAGAGGCTTCGGCTCTGTTGGGGGCCACGCGTGTTTCTTCTGAAACGGAGTTCCTCATCGCTTCTCTTCTAGAAAAGTCTGGCAGTAGTAACACTTAACTTGCAGTGTTTCTCAACCTTGACAATTTTAAGGCATGTGGACTTCAACTCCCAGAATTCCACAGCCAGCATTGCTGGCTGTGGAATTCTGGGAGTTGAAGTCCACATGCCTTAAAATTGTCAAGGTTGAGAAACACTGCAATAAAGCGTTGCTATGCTGTATTGGTCCATTGGGAAAAAAAAACGCCTCTAGATTCATAATCCGCTAATTTCTTTATTGACACGAAAAAGTGTGTTTAAGGTTTTAAATGTTCAGAACTTAGGCGCGATATTAGAGAAGCAGGACATGGGGAAAGCGGGTTTTTAAAAAAAACAAAAAAAAACAACAACACTACCGGGCCAGATATTTGCAACCTGTGTGGTTTGCAGACCAGTTTTCTTTAGGAGGTGGAGTCGAAACTCTCACTGGTTCCCGTTTATGTTTCACATTAAAGGGAACAACGATCAGTTGCTCTTTGAAGGCAAGTGTAAACTGAACTCTCAAACTTCTCACTCAACGGGGAACTCGGGTGACCGTGGAACAGAAGGCAGAAAACAGTATAAAATAAAAGCTGCTTGATTAATTGCATCCATGATTTTTATTTCATGCACATGTCAAACTGGGTGGAATATAAGGTATGTTTGTGACAGCCTTATTTATTAAATTTATTGGCTGCCCATTTTGCCATAAGGTGATTCCAGTGGTGGGATTCAGCTGGTTTGCACCACTTCGGCAGAACCGGTAGTTACTTTTTTGTTGCCCAGGCCCAGAATGGACTTCCAGAAGCGGCATCCACAAAGAGAACCGGTTGTTCACATATTTGAATCCCAGTGATTCTTAGGTAATGCACTGAATTGGATTAAGATTTGATATTAAGAGAACCTTGTTAGTTTTTGGTGGCAAAAAAAGTCAGAAGTCTGGTAGCATTTTTTTCCAATAACAAATTATTAAAAAGCATCTCTGCATCTGATGAAGTGAGCTATAATTCATGAAAACTTGCACCTTTTCATAAAATATACAAGTCAGAAAAGGTGATACCAGACTTTTGATGTTTTGGTATAAAGAGGTGAGTTCTTGAATCAACTTTACAGTTACACCAACCAGGCACTAGATGGCAACTGATACCTGGTGAAGGAAGTACCTTATTACTTCTGGCCGAGAGAACTATCGCCAAATCAGAATATTTGCTATAAGAGCTTTTGTCAACAGTAAGCAAGGTAAAAGAAAAAAAAACCTGATGGTGGACTAGTAGACATTGTGAGAGCAAAAATGCAGTAAGATATGCTGCTACATGTTTCAAATGTGTGGCTGCTAGTTCTTTGATATTATGCTTCATTGTAAACCAGACAGAATTGCAATTTACTTTCCACATAATAGAATAGAGCTGGAAAGGACCTTGGAGATCTTCTAGTCCAGTCCCCTGCTCAAGCAGGAGAACCTATACTATTTCAGACAAGTGACTGTCTAGTCTCTTCTTAAAAACTTCCACTGATGGAGTGCCCACGATTTCTGGAAGCAAGCTGTTCCACTGGTTAATTGTCCTCACTGTTAGGAAGTTTCTCCTTAATTCCAGGGTGCTTCTCTCTTTGATCAGTTTCTAACCATTGTTTCTTGTCTTGCCTTCTGGTGCTTTGGAGAATAATTTGACCCCCCTCTTCTTTGTGGCAGCATCTCAAATACTGGAATACTGCTATCATGTCACCCCTGTTTCTTCTTTTGTTTAGACTAGCCAAACCCAAGTCCTGCAGTCGTTCTTCATATGTTTTAGTCTCCAGGCCTTTGATCATTTTATGATTATGATTTACAACTTAGCGTATATTGCTCATTTCTTTACATCACAGCTGCTATGGCGTGTCCTTTTAACATTCAGTACACATTATTTTAGGGTCCCTGTCCTGGCTTAAATATGTTCTATATTTACTTATTTATTGCAGACCAAGTTGAGGTAAGGAGGATTATCTTGGTTTCACTTCTGGCAGAAGAGCATTCAATGATCACTCTTTTAAAAGTGGGATGGGACAAGTTTAGGTAATGCTTACAATGGCATGTCTGTCTCGCCATCTCTGAAGTTGGCTGATAAAGAGCAGGAGTTGAGGGAACTTACTGAAGTCTCTGAGATGCTTCTCTTGCCAGAACCTTTCTGTGTTGCTTACCTGCTGGGCTACTTCTGAACATGGATGTAGCGTTCTTTGGAAAGTGTGCTAAAGATAAGAGCCTTATTTCTAATTGTTCATGAATAATTTGATTTAATAATTTAACAGACTGAAGCTTCAAAGGAAACTTAATATGTTGATTTTAAAATTTGGTCCCTGAACTTAAAAGGGCAAGTGTGAATAGATAAATAAATAAATCTTCTCCTTCCATGTGCCCAAGGTTTGCCTACAGATGCTTCTAACTGCTTGTCTGCTCCTCCATCTCTCTACATAAAGGGGCTATTGCTCCTGGGAGACAGGCTTTGATTGCAAGGTCATAGCCATCTTGATATTTTTTGACACCCTCTTTCCTAGATCCCTGCAAAGGGTCCTAACTCTCATGTCCTCTAGAATAGGGTTGTGCAGAGCTTTGGATTCTATTCCAATTCTGCAGCTTTTTAAAGCAACCATGTCTCTTCCTCAGATTCCATAGCTGTTCCCAAGAAAGGATGAAGCTGCTTTAAAGCAATGCAGGCAGGTGTTACATTGATGTTCCAGAGACCTTTTATGAAGCACCGCCATAAGATGAGATGCCAATAACTTTTTACAGTGTTCTAAAATGGAATCTACAGCTTGAGGCTAGAAATAACTTTTGATGAATTAGCATACTATTATTCCCGGTACTCATGAAAGGCCCACAGTATTCTCATTCTCACGGATGCCTTCTGTATAAATCTAATATGAGGAAGAGAAAATGCGGCTTGTATGAAAATTCTATCCTGTCCTCCGTGTCATCCACTGGCTGCAGTAACCACATCTAGAACAAATGTCATTCGATTACAGAGAATAGGAAGTATCTATGACCTTATATGGAATAATTTGAGAAAAATCTTGGGGAGTTTTTTAGGATGTAAACTTGTCGTATATTTGAAAATAAGGGCGCTTCTGCAAGATGACATCCGATTTGACATATAGGAATGACTAATTGCTGACACATATTGAAATCGTGCAGATGTAGGGATTCCTTCTCTTTTCTTTTTTCTGAACCAGAGTTATAAAAGAGGATGCCGCAACGGGAAGAATCAGAACCACAGAAGCAGCGAGTCAGACTATTCTTACATAGTACATAGATCATGCAGAGGATTTCCATCCTGTTTCTTCAGGTAAGTTTCAAAATCAATATCAATTTGTGAGGGAAGGTGACTAGAGAAGGTTACAGTGAGAAGGGCAAAGATGTACAAGTGGACCTGTGTGGTAATGGGAGCAGCACCAGAGGTCTTTCTTGGATGGAGGGGGGAGTTTTAAGTTTCGAGGAGGGTTAGATTTAATTTAATATTAAGCCTGCGATGGTACAGTATGAACTGGGTAATTTTAATTCAGCCGTGTCTCATCCCAATCTTCCTTACAAAATTGTGGAAATCAAAAAAGAGGCATGCTGTTTTGACTTCTCGTATGAAAGATGACATACTCTGTATCGTATTTTTTAATTGTTTATATCAGGAGCTCTTAGACTGCAGCTTGTGATCTGTGCTGAATTGCCAACTACTTAAGAGAATAGGATCACAAATTATAAAACTCAGATCAGGCCAGCACAGGCAATGTGAACACCATTTATACTCGCTCCAAGCTTAGCTCCTCACATGGCTGTTCAAACCCATGATGAGTACTGCAAAGTTTGAGAAACTCTGGGATAAACACATTTAAAATGTAGTGATTAAAAGTAAGTGGTATTGTAGATTTATTTCCTACCAGGCTCCAACCCTTATAAAAACATTAGTTTCATCCATGGGGGAGTTTCATAAATTTATTTTATAATGTTAGGAGGTCACAATCTTGCAACATTTGAGAAATCTTGGCTTATGTATGTATCCATATGGTGGGAAACTGCCACAATTGTTAACGCTGGAAATTTAAAAAACATATTATTGTGGCCTAATGTATTGTAAGAGCCAACTTCTTTTAGTTAGGTTATGGCCAAATGTATTAATTATGCAAACCCAGAATGTGGATTAATTCAGCAATGGCATCAAGTATTACTGGCCAAAACTCAACTAACTTTTGTTTCTTGCCCATCCTAATCATGAGAGCTAATGGTCAATACTTTTAGAAAGCACCAAATTGGGAAGGTCAGCTGAAGAATAATTTACCCTTACAACTTTGTAACTGTTTTGGTGTCCATATTTTTTGAACCAAGTAGATATCTATATCTGTATCTCCTATATCATCTCTATATTTGTGCATATGCATTTATTTCATTATAATGTAATCAAATTTAATTTGTCTGGGATTCTTTTGTAGGAATATACTCTTTTTCCTTGTGTTTCCTGCTCCAATATCCTTGTCAAGGAAAGGCCATTTTTTTATTACTGCAGAATGTACTAACTAGAAGAGCATCCTCTCTGGTAAGTAAATATTAAATAGTTCCAGAAATACTTTATGTTTAATAGCAATACTGTATTAACATTCAGAAAAGGCACTGGTTAAGCCAGTGGTTCTCAACCTTTTTAATGCCGCGACCCCCAACCGGTCGTAAGTCGAGGACTAAACCGGTCGTAAGTTGAGGACTAAATCGGTCGTAAGTTGAGGACTAACCAACCGGTCGTAAGTCGAGGACTTTCCCTGCCCGGGAGCACCGTGCATGCATGGTTCCGCCCCCTGTGCCGGCCGAGGTGTAGCTGGCAAGTGGCAGAGGCGGAGCAGGCCGACCACTAGCTGGCCCAGCTCAAGGGAGGTAAGGCACCCGCCGGAAAAGGGGAAAAAAATGGCGGACAGCCTTGCTTGGCGACCCCCGTGAAATGGTCGATCGACCCCAAATGGGGTCGCGACCCATAGGTTGAGAACCGCTGGGTTAAGCTATTAAAAGGTGATAATTTTTTTTGAATGTGCTACAATCATAAAAACTTTAAGACCATTTAATGAAGTGTTTTCTTCATGTACTGTCTATTTTGTGTTTCAGTTGCAAAGCGATTCGTCTGGATTACCCTAGTAAACATTCTGCTCCCATGGGTAGAGGCCACTCCCAGCTGAAAAACCAAAGTGTGGGACATTATATCACAGACATACGTGCTCTGATTCCTTCATTTCATTGGTCTCCTTCGACTGTTTATTGTAGCGCTGAATACCTTCTGTCTGATGTCCTTCCAAGAACAATCCAGCTAAAAGGAATGCAATGGCCACCTTAACTTTGAAATCAACATTTTTCCTCTGATAAGGAGCCATCATACATTTCTTCTCTGAAAAGTTAAGAATGGAATCAGGACTGTTCCAAGAAATATAATTCTATTAGACACAGGAATACTTTTGTGCAAGGAAGAGAAAGCCCACTACATAAATATTGGACCCCAGTTCCCTTAAGAACTTTTCACATGTCTAGAATCCAATTTTATTTCAATATAAATAAAGCAGATTTTATATGCATATATATATTTCAATAATATATTTGTTTGGAATACATTTATATATACATATCTATATTATATAAATATGTAGATATAATGTTTTTAATATAAAAAAATTATATTAAAGATTAAAGATTCTTTTAATATAAAGCATATGTATAGTATGCTGTGGTGTAAAGATCTACAAATATGCAAGGTAGCTTAAAAATTCAGATTAAGTAAGATTTATTTCATTTTTGGAATAGTCTGCTGAGTAATAGAAGAAAAAAGTTCATTTGTAGTAAGACACAGAAGGAAGTCAAGTAGCAATGTTATAAACAAAGATATTAATAATTCAGCTGATGTGGAGCACTGTAGCTGAAGAAAATGAAAATGTTATCAGTCTCTGCAGTTCAGTGTGTCATGGTTGGGAGGTGCTCAATCCTCTCGTAAAAAAAAAGAACCCTTACCAATTCAGGTGCACTTTTATTTCTGATATGATTGGAAAATTGGACATTTCTGTAATATCTGTGTTTTAATTGAGAAATAAACAATTGAGAAAACTTTTTGCTTTGCATTTTATTGCTCTAACACAAACTGGGAACAAAAACTACTTCCTCTAATGAGTAGGAGGAAGGGGTGAAACAGTTCAATTTCTGAGGTTCTGCCTCCTCCTGAGCCTGGCATCTTGTCATAGGAAAGATGTACTCTTGGCTGCATCTATGGTTGGGAAGATCTATAGTTTAAATTTCATTTGTATAAGTTGTTAGGAACAGATTTGTAAATGTATAATTCATTCATTATACTTTCATTTTAGCTCTTGCCCATTTTTTTTAATGTAACATGATGGTTGATAATCCTTGCTCCCAAAGTGTAGGAATGAACAGGATGGAGGTCTCTGTGGTTTGTTAGGAATTTTGTCACATGGACAGATTCTCATGGTCACTATTAGCTAGAACCCATCCTTTCTTATGATCTTGCCAAAGAGTTCATTACCCAAATTTATCTCTACTAAAGAAATGCTGCATTTGTATTTTTCTAATTTTTTATTTTAGAAAAAGCATACTATTTTAAGCAAACTTGATTTGGTAATCAGCAGACTTAATGTTTCTTAAGGCAGGCCAGTGATCCTTTCCAGCTTCTTAAATGTTTGGAACTAAAAAAAAGGTGGCAGACAGCATGTTCGTTTGGAGTCTCTTATACGCTGCATCCTCCTATTGAAGTTGAAGATGTTTCTCCATCCGCTCTCTCAGTTTGTATTTTTGAATCTACATTTGGATGGAATAAAAGGGGACTCGTGTAATTAAAGACTTAAATAGCAAAACAAATATTCATGTATTTCTTCTCAAGACTTCTCTCTTCATACATTACTCTTATCATTCTTCAACTTTGACCCAAATCAAACACTCTCTGAAGTAGGCAAACAATAATGGTCCTTTTCAGTCTTGCTGGAGTACCTGTAGTTTGTAATTCTCCCCTATCAGTACCACCTGATTAAAATAGTGGCAACATTTTTAAGCGGTAACTAAGCTCTGGTTTGATTTTAAACACCAGAGATGGCTGTCGTTCTATCTCTTCTCCATTACTAGCGTATTAACTATCCCATTGGATTCAAAGTGTCATCTGCATTGAGACTGAGGAAAAGCTCTACTGCTACCTCACATGCTGCTCAAGTCTTAAGAGAGTTGGGAACTGTCAGGCGCATGGCTCTGTTTCAACATACCTCCTAACCCATCCCTGGAGGGGACAATCTCTCTGAACCTCATGCCAGTACCAGCCTTGATAACTGTATCAGCCACACTGCTGCACAGAGCTATGATTTCATTAGAACTACCAGATCTAAATTACAGAGTTCACCAGCAGATGGCAAAAAAGAGTTAGTGTTTCTTCCTGTTTTATACCTAAATACTACAGAGCTCTTCCTTTGTTCTTTGAGCACAAATGTGTCCCCCATCCCCAGGCCTCCACATATTTCCCATTTCTGATCTTGGTAGCCATCACAATAACCCAATATTCTGACGCTGAAATCATCACATTTGTCACTCTGATCAGAGGACTCCTATCTTTAAAATTCCTATAATGGTTTCTTGACCTCTACTGGTCCAGTTTTTACTTCAAAACTCTTTAGGGCCTTCTTCCCTTTATCCTTTTATATTTGCCTATAAACTTTATTGTTCTTCAATCTCCATCACAGACTATTCCCCTTTTTTTCCCTCTTGTGGCTCAATGTGTTTCAAACTGCCTCTTCCAATGCACAAGTCATCATCTCTTATGTTTCTTTCCAATCACTCTTCAAGCTCACATTTTCAAGGATTTCAAATCCTTCATACTGTAGCTTACTTTAATCTTCTCTGAAATTAAGCCTATTTATCCTTGGATGACTACTTGAAGTTCCCTCACCTTCCTCTATTGTTGCCTTGCATCAAATTTTAGAATTAAATATGCTGAGATAGGGATATGTCTTACCGTACTCAGCCGAGTGCTGTACACCAAAACAGGGGTGCTTTTACTCACCTTGCCTGACACAGTGAGTGGGTAATCCTTCACAAACACTACGTATCGAGGAATCTTGAAATGAGCAATCTGTGAGTTTAAAAAAAAGCTCAGAATGTCAGAATTTGTTTTGGCTTGCCTGTTATTTCATGTGACTAAGAGACAGGTTTCTTAAAACTTCAGTGAAAGCTCAGCTTCTTACCAACTCCCCCTCAAAAATACCCTACCTAAATTGTCTTCCTCATGCCAAGCAACTTTCATAAAAATAGCAAGAAAATTCCTGGGCCATTTAATTGCCTTGGCTTGGAAAGCCACTTGGCAAAGAAAGAAAGCGAGAGTTAGATTTGAAAAATAGAAGATTTGACCTATTAGAGGGGGCAACCTATGTTTAAGTACTTGTTCGAATATGGTTAAAAGAACGGATGACTCTTAGATATATTTAGACCTTTATAATGAAAGATACAATTTAGAATTAAAATAGCATTTTTTTTCTCTTCTTTTGATATGAGAAATATGAAAATAAGAGGAGGATTGGTATGAATAAAATTTTTAGCTATATAAATGTATTTAACATTGAGAAAATCATAACTGACAAAGATACTTTAATATTGATGGGAAATTAAACCTTAACAAGAGCACAAAAAACAGGATATTGATTAATGAATTGATATTATTGTTATTTGTATAATATTAGTAAAATATGATGAAGATGTTTATATCTAACTCTGTATACGTCAATAGTACCAAGAATTGTACCTGCGTAATGAGAGGAAAATGGAAAAAATATGGGGAAGAAAGGAGGATCAGGGAAAAAAATACTGGATTGTGCAGTACTGAATAGACTTATACTGAAGAAGTTAATGTTAAACATGTGAACCCAGACAACATGTTGTTTACTAAGCTCTATAGATTGTAATTCTTAAAAATTAATAAAACTTTAAAAAAAATAAAAAAATAAAAGGCAATTGTAGGAACTACTTAACTAAAGAGAAGAAATATAATTCAGGTTTATAAAATTAAACATGGTAAGGAAACAGCAAACAAGAAGACTTCTTTCCTCTCTCCCATAGAGGCCACTAGTAAAACTAGTAAGAATGAATGTTTCTTTTTCACAGTATTTTATCAGCTTTTGGAACAAGTTGCTATGTGATGGATTGGCTCTAATTTAGGTGGATAAAAGGAGACTAGATAAATTCCTAGGAGAGAGTCTATCAACGAGTTAATTGTAACATTTCCAGGCACAGGGTCAATGATTGAGCAACGATAGGAGAGGGCAGTTATTTTGATATCCTATTTGTATCTGGTAAGGCATCATGTGAGACAAATGCTATTAGATGGACCCAGATTTGATCCCAGAAGGCTAGTCTCATGTTTTCATGCTTCTAAGAACACAAGAATCTTTTGTCATCCCTTCCCTTTCAGAGCTGCTCCAGCCCTCTTGCTACTATTACTGAAGTTGATTAGCAGCTGCTTTCCATCAAGCATTTTCTAAAACCTCAGGGGAGATACTGGGGACCAGACTAGGGGTACAGAACACCTGTTTTGCCATGGAATTAGGGTTCCTACCTTAACTACTGATTCCATCAAAGATGTGATTTCTCTCTCTCTCTCTCTCTCTCAGTTGCAAAGGGAAGGAATAGAGGAGGGAGACAGTTCAGTTCCATCCACCTGGTCGTCCTTACCTTTCCTTTGCAAAATGCCTTGATTTCGTCTGCCGTGCATTCCTCTCCAGCTTTCACTCTGATGGAAGCACAGATCTCTTCTCCAAATCGCTCATCTTTTACACCNTATTTGGGTCGACAGTGTCTATTACATATGGGAGAAAGAAATCTTTCTCCCATATTTGGGTCGATAGTGTCTATTACAGGATGTAAGTTTAGATATTATATATCTAAACAAGAAGCCAAATTTGATGGCTTTTCTCACTGTCCCTCTCACCTGTACTTCTTGAATTTTAGGATGCGTGTGTAGAAATTGTTCAAGCTCTGCTGGATATATGTTCTCCCCTCCTCGAATGATCATGTCTTTGCAGCGACCTACGATCTTGCAGTAGCCATACTCATCAAGAATAGCAATGTCCCTGGAATGAGATTATTGTTATTCCATCCTAAATCTGGATTTTCTACATAGAAGTTTTGTATTTTCCATTTGTTATACTGCAAATATTTATTACATTGCAAATTCTCACACAGATGGGAGGCAGTGAGTGCTCCCATTTCTTAGTAAATAAAATAATGATTATAGTTTTGTGTATGCATTCCCATTTCTTCTACCTAAAAAGGCTTTTCTTAACTAAATAACTAATCAACAAATTAAATATTTATTTCCTATTTGTCGTAGGGATGAGATAGTGAGTATGTTTTGACTAGTGAATGTGGGCAGTCCATGGTAAACAATTTGATGGATCTCTGTGGATCACATTATCAGAATCACTGGACCTCCCTAATGAACCAGTAGTTCCTGTGGACTTACCCAGTCTTGTACCACTGCTCATCATTCAACACTTCCTTGGTTTTGTTGGTGTCTGCCCAATACCCCAGCATGACACA